TGCTCCACTGAACAAAAGATGTTTGATCATTTCCAGCAGGCTGTGTAACAGGCCAGGAAGAGCCAGAACTAGAAAACAAATCATCTTACTACAGGCACACAAAGATAACGGGATTCCAGAATGACAACAGGTCAACGCGCAGGAATGAATGCTTAATAACTCAGGACACTTCAGAGTACCAGAGAAATCCATTCTGGGCATGGTTATCTTCAATTGTCTTTTAAATTTCTTCACTAATGAGTATGTTTACAAAATCTGCAGTTGACACAAAGCTAGTGGGATTTGGTGAGCAACACAGAAGAGAGTATTGGAACTGAAATGGATGTTGAGAAATTGCAGAGGCTCAGAAACCATTAAGATAATTTTTTTAAAAAAAACAAGTATAGCATGTTATTATTGCAAAAAAACATACAAGGAAAACTTGATTATTTTCTTAGGAAGTACAATGGCAGCCTGAAAAGAACAAAGGGAGAAAAAGAAAACATAGTGTGCTTCTCTCCTGTAAAATATGTCATCAAAACAAACTCCAGAACTGCAAAGACTACAAAACAAATAGGAACAGTAACACACTATCTCTGCGAGCAAGCTCACATTCCTCACACACCAGCTTTATTCTGGAAGGTATTCAGAAAGATTCTTTTGACCAAGGAGATTGTTATTACCCTCTATTTAACCTAGATCTCACTTGAATATTGTCTTTTCAACATCACACTCACAAAAACACCTTGAGAGTTTAGAGCAAATTAAGCTACTTTGAAACAGTCTCTATCTTTTAAACCCTTGAATGCAGATAGATGAGCATGTCTCTGGAAAAAATAGGCAAAGAGGAGAGGGGCATGAATACCAAGCACATTCTGAAGAGTTGTATTGGACATAAGTTTTACTTTAAAATTAAACAGTAATTAACTTTCCCACAAGAGAAGGAAAAGCTTGAACCAGCCCCAGCTGACTTTGTTGTCAATCATACCAGGCTGAGATACACTCTACATAAAATGGAGTATGTATAATAATGTTACATGCCACAGAACAGATGGTTGAAGAGCAATCTTCCCTCCAGGATTCACTTACTTCAGGGAAGTTAGTGTTCCTCTTTAACAGATAGGTCAGGGGAAGACCACTGGAGGTCACCAGCCTCCTTGCTCAAGCAGGATCCCCTAGGGCATTGTAGTCAGAATTTTCTCTAGACTGCTTTTGAGTAATCCAGGGAAGGAGACTCCACAACTGCTCTGGGCATTCTGTTCCAGTGCTCAATTAGTAGAGAATTTCTTCCTCGTGTTTAGGTGAATGTTTCTATGTTCCAGTTTCTGCCCATTACTTAGCATTACTAAGAAGAACTTGACTCCATCCTTGTGATGCCCACACATCAGATATTGAGGTATTTATACATATTGATGTGAACTTCTGCCAGTCTTCTCCAGACTGAATAAGCCCTGTCCCTCAGCCTTTTCACATAACTGGGATGCTCCAGCCCCCATTCATGCTGCCCTCCGCTGGACATGCTCCAGGAGCTACATGCCTCTCTTGTCCGGAGGAGCCCAGAACTAGATACATTGTTGAATTTCAGACAATTCTTCTCTGCCCATCTCTTCAACCTCTTGAAGTGCTTCTGAAGGGTTGCACAGCTCTCTAGGGTATTGGACCCTCCTTCCAGCTTTGTATTGTCAGTGAACTCACTGAGGAGGCATCTGCCCCTTCATCCTAGTCAGTGATGCACAAGTTAAACAATACTGGAGCAGTACTGAACTCTTGAGGACACCACTGGAGACAGGCCTCCAATGAGACCCTGAGCCTGATTACAACCCTTGGGGATCTGCAGTTCAAGCTCAGGAAATATGGGCTGGATGAGTGGACAGTAAGGTTGCAGTGAGAACTGGCACTGTCCACTCATCCAGCCCACACTTCCTGAGCTTGCCTATGAGAATAGCACCAGAGACAATGTCAAAACCCTTGCTCTTAGTCCAGGTAAACATCCAGTGCTCTTCCCTCGCATCCACCCAGGTAGTTGTCTCAGCATAGAGGGCAATCAGGTTGGTTAAGCATGCCGACTACTCTTCATCATCTTTGTGTCTTCCATGTGTGTGGAGGTGGCCTCCAGGATGAAACGTTTCATGGCCTTTTCAGGGATTTAGATGAGACCAATTGGCCTATATATAGCTCCCTGGGATCTCCTTCTTGCCCTCTTTGAAAACCAGGATAGTACTGGCTTTCCACCAGTATTGTGCCACCTCTCCTGCCTGCCATAACCTTTCAAGGATTTGAGAGGGGCCTAGCAGTCATGTCTGCTAGCTCCTTCAGCACTCACAGGTGTGAAGGAACTCATCAGAGCCCATTGACTTGTTGATGGCAAGTTCAGTCCTTTATGATTTCCTGGGACACATGAAAGAACATTTTTCTCCTTTTATGGTTTTTATGCAGAAGCCTGAGCATAAAGCCATCTTCTTGAAATGTTCTAACTTTAGCCATTTTTCAGCGGCCATCCAGGCTAAAGCAGATGCGATTCTTCTAATAACTGGCTGAAATGCTAAAAAATAATATTTTCTGATATTCTGTTGCAGTGAATGTAAGTGTTTGTAGCAGACAGTTGATAGCAAACACAGAAATAGGAGCACTGTTACAGCAGGGGTTTCAAGGTGGTACTGGTGAGGTTGCTGTAAACATCTGCAACTCCCTGATGGTAATGACCTCCTTTTGGTAGAAGCATCCCGGCAAGAGTACCACTGATACATCAGTTTCTAAACAGACTTACTATGCTGGTATCCTTCTTCACATAAACAAGCCTTAGTTCCACAATGTTACCTAGCCAGTCAGAGATACACCTCTTTTTGTAGTAGTACTAGCTGGAAAATTTTACATGCCATGTTACCATTAATGGCTGCACCCAAACCATTAATTCAAATAAAGGGCCCTCATTTTTTCTTCCTTTTGCTATGTTAGATAAATTAATAGGGGGGAAACAAATTTATCCTATAGAGTGTGATTATTCATCATGTTTACATATTCATTATGCACAAAGCTACAGCTACTTAAGTCATATAGGGAAGCCTTACTTACCCTTCCAATTAAGATTTTCATATCAGATGAACATGACTTCCTTGACAAAAAAAACCCCATGTTTCCCATCCCCTCAGTATAGATTACAATGAGATCCAGTGGTACTGCATCAAAACACAAAAAGAAAAAGCCTTCAGACTGACACCAGCAACAAGCATGTTCACGCTCTCACAAAATGAAATCGGCTGCTGCAACCTTCCCAAAATAAACATAATCATTAACTAAGTATAGCTGCATCTATTCCAGAGCCAAGAGAACCCTTTTTCTTTTGCCTAAAGGACTTTTTATTTCTTTCTCTTCTCTTTATGCTTTATAACCAAAAGAATAGCTTAGCCTGGTTTAGAATGGTTTGAGTGTTGCTGAATCCAGCTTCCCCTCCATTATTTAATGTTTGTTTTCTCTTCTGCAGAGAAAAAAGGCAAACAGTCCTCAGATTTACCCTAGGGAATGGAGGAGGAAAAACAAACCAGAAACGCAAATGACTGCCTAATGAGAGTTTCAGTATTAAGAAAAGGGTATTAAAGAAAAAAAAATAATAAAAAAGTATCTCTTTACCCCTTTCAATTCCATTAGCATAATGTTCCAAGAATGTTAACTACATTCTTTTATCTCTTAGACACCAGTTTGCAGCTTAAAACAAAGCTGAAACCAAAGCTATAAATTACAAGTGGAACAAAATATTTACATAATGACATAAGTTATTTTGCATATTAAGATTTGAATGATTCAATTCCTTTGGTTTTGTTCACAAATAAATATTTTTCACTGACAATGGTGAACTGAAAATATAGCCTTTTAAACTTTTTACTTTATTGATACTTAGTGTTGTCCAGTTAACACTGATTCTTACACACTTATCTTTTGTCATTTTGGTCATTCACATAAAAAATAAGATGAAGCTAACGAGTAAGCTGGAAAACTACAGGAACAGTAGTAATTAGCATTGTATTGCCAGCATCGTAGATTGGTGATTTGAACCATAAAAAGAGCTCCAAGCTAAACACCATGTAAACAATACCTGTCACTTTAAAACCACAGGCTGCATTTGGTGCTCCCAGCCCCAGCACTGCTTCAGGTCTTTAACTACTCCACCTGACCACAGCAGAGGAACTTCACTTAAACTCGGTCGCCTGAGCCTCTGCAGGAGCTACTGATTTTACTTAGGTTCCTACGAACATTCTTACTCCAGAGTACAAATTTCACTTTGAAATTTTACTTTTAGAATGGCAAATACCGCCCATGTGACATAATCTGAAAAAATGTAACTCCTTGTAGCATCACATACGGTAGTCTGGCTGTAATTTCTTTTTTTAATCTTTAAAATCCGCGTTAAAGAAAAACAACAAACCCTCAGGCAGGCAGGCCCATTATTTTAATGAAGTACTCAAGTCGTCTGTTACACGAACAGGTATAGCTTTGACAAAAACCACGAGACCTCTGCAGTCCCTGCACATCAGGTAAACCTGGTTTAAAGTATTAAAAAACATAACAAAACAAACAAACCCCACCCCGCCCCCCCAAAAGAAACAGCACCACCATACGGACCTGGAAAGCGTACTTCCAAATGAACTTTAAAAAACCTGCTCTAACAGTAACAAGTAAGACAGAACAAACATAAGTGCACCGTTTTCCCTCCCAATCCCGCAGAAAGAAGAGCTTCACCCGGGATCGTTCTGCCCACCGCTGCCTCAGCAGCCGCCTCAGCGCTGCACCGCGAGGGGCTGCGGGCAGCCTCGGCGCCGCCGCTGGAGCCGGAGCCTGCCAGACAGGCCGGTTCCGCTGGAATGCTCTCTGCAGCCTGCCCGCTGCCACGACAGCACCCTTTGCCACCGGAGAGAGGGGTCGGGGTCTAAGTTCCACCCTCACCTTTGCCTTTTTTTTTTAAAGGGAAGGAGACACCCGCCCTAGGCGCACACAAAACACACACACACACGCACACACACACTCACTCCCAACAGCCAGACACAGCTGATCCCAGGCCCGTCAGGCTGGCTCCTCCCCGCTCCTCCAGTGGGGCAGAGGCACGGAGCAATTCCAGCACCTTCTTCACCTCTTCCCCAAACTACTCCCGCGAGTGCAGCCCGCGCCCTGCTG